ACATGCCCCTTAAGAGGAACTGACATGCCCCTTAAGGGAACTGACATGCCCCTTAAGAGGAACTGACATGCCCCTTAAGAGGAACTGACATGCCCCTTAAGAGGAACTGAAATGCCCCTTAAGAGGAACTGACATGCTCCTTAAGAGGAACTGACATGCCCCTTAAGAGGAACTGACATGCCCCTTAAGGGAACTGACATGCCCCTTAAGAGGAACTGACATGCCCCTTAAGAGGAACTGACATGCCCCTTAAGAGGAACTGACATGCCCCTTAAGAGGAACTGACATGCCCCTTAAGAGGAACTGAAATGCCCCTTAAGAGGAATTGACATGCCCCTTAAGAGGAACTGACATGCCCCTTAAGAGGAACTGACATGCCCCTTAAGAGGAACTGACATGCCCCTTAAGAGGAACTGACATGCCCCTTAAGAGGAACTGAAATGCCCCTTAAGAGGAACTGACATGCTCCTTAAGAGGAACTGACATGCCCCTTAAGAGGAACTGACATGCCCCTTAAGAGGAACTGACATGCCCCTTAAGAGGAACTGAAATGCCCCTTAAGAGGAATTGACATGCCCCTTAAGAGGAACTGAAATGCCCCTTAAGAGGAACTGACATGCCCCTTAAGAGGAACTGAAATGCCCCTTAAGAGGAACTGACATGCCCCTTAAGAGGAACTGACATGCCCCTTAAGAGGAACTGACATGCCCCTTAAGAGGAACTGAAATGCCCCTTAAGGGGCATTTCAGTTCCTCTTAAGGGGCATGTCAGTTCCTCTTAAGGGGCATGTCAGTTCCTCTTAAGGGGCATGTCAGTTCCCTTAAGGGGCATGTCAGTTCCTCTTAAGGGGCACGTCAGTTCCTCTTAAGCCTCACTCACAACACACTTTCCCTCAATAACGCTGTGTTTTATACATTCTAATGGTAACACCATCAACAATATATTGTATACGTCTTCTTGAAGCTCAACTGCTTAATTTTCTAATGATTTTAGTTGTCAGAATATTTTCAAGCGTTGCAAACACTTAAAGAAAACCAAAAACAACTTATAATTTCAAAACAATGAAAAGTTTATCTGGCGTCACATATCATAATATCAACAATGTTTATTCTGTTTATCAACAAAGTTAATTAAGCTTTCCTGTTATCCATAAATGAGACGGATTACAAGCCCGTATCATACACAATGCTTCAGTTCCAGTATTATTAAAACTATCATTACACGCCTCTACTTGAACGCTTTGCAATGATTTGGATTGTAATTAGTTCCCAGTGTTTTCAAATGTAGGGTATTTTTCTAAAATAATTATAAAACTATTTAAACAAATAGTAAATGCAATATCAACTTGTATAACTTACAAGTCGCTCTTCACTGCACCACCACGAGCACACCTTGTCGAGCACACCACCGTCTCGAGCACCCACCGGAGGGCGTCTGAGGGCGCCAGCTCCGCCGACTTACCAGGTCGCCACGTGAGGTGTAACACAACCTCTGGTAAGTTAAGAATAGCACCCCGCCAGGCATGGTCACTCCCGACGCCTTTTCCTTCTTGGCATCCCACTGTATCCATGATACCAACTAACTGCCTGAGCCTGTGTAATCGGCCTGATATAGAACAGAATTCCTCCGCTTTATCTTAATGAAGCAAACTTATTTCCGAAATCTCATTCATATCGATATTGAAAATTGGTTGTACATACGTGTCTTGCTTCTGCTTTACATATTTCTTGTGCTTAGAGCCGTTTCCATATTTGGAAAGATGCGTGCGAATCCTCGCTCAGTCTTCTTAAAAAAAAAACAATACGTTTCTTTGATATTTTTAAGTTTCCGTATGAATTCAAATGTCTACAATTTTTTACATTATATGTATATATATCTTGACTTCATTTCTCGGAAAAGTTTTTGAAACATGTTGAACTCTAATATGGTTTCTCTCCTGTATGTGTCGTTTTTAGGCCTCAGTTCTAAGGAAATTCGTTTAGACTCGTTGAAAACATGTTTTGTCTCCTGTACGAAATTTTACTTATGTGCTGTAGTTATAATGTCTCAGGAAAGTCATTTAGAAGCACTGAAACTGATCTGATGTCTCTCCTCTATGGCTTCCTGTCTTTTATATTCTTGACTTCACAGAATTTTTTTTTAAATTTGTTTAACACTGATGTGATTTATAACCTGTGTATTTTATATTTCATATTAAATGTGATTTCTTTCACGAATTTTATTTAGATATATTGAACACTTAACATGGCGTCTCCTATATGAAATAATGTTTCTTAGTCTTCATTTAATGGCTCAACAAATCTATTTTGACTTGTTAACATTGTTGACTTGTTAATATTATTTTCTCTCCTGTTTTATGTGTCATTTTAGACTTGACTCCTCAAGAGTTCAATTACTTTGACCACTTAACTTTTTTTCTCTCCTGTATAAACTCTTATGTTATAATTGACTTGATTTCTCAGCTAAGTCATTTATATGCACAAATGTACTTTTTCATAAATAACAAAAAGGCACAATACCGTGACTGGAACGATACATAAATAACCCACACATAAAAGAGAGAAGCTTACGACGACGTTTCGGTCCGACTTGGACCATTGACAAAGTCACAGTGTGACTTTGTCAATGGTCCAAGTCGGACCGAAACGTCGTCGTAAGCTTCTCTCTTTTATGTGCGGGTTATTTGTGTATGTAATTTTTCCTTCTGTATGAATTATGTCTCGTATCAAAGCTGTTTTCTCTGGAAATTCATTTAGACATTTTGAGACAGATATTGTTTCTACTTTCTGAATTCTTCTGTGTCTTGTTAAATTATTTTTTTGTGAAAAGTCATTAAGGCACATTGAGAACTGATATGTTTTTTTTCCCCTATATGAACTATGGTATTAGTGTATGATATCAGTGTATCCAATGGATACACTGTACACTGGTATGGTTTCTCTCCTGCAAGAACTGATTATGTATCATATTTGATTCACTGTTACGACAAAGACAAGTTTACTTCAGAAAATATACTTGTATAAGTATAATGCAAATGTGTATGTGAGAGGGATGGTATAGCAGATTTAGAATGCTGTAAAACAAACCTTATGTATCTGTTGAGTAACATTCGATTAATATCAATCATTTTATTAGAAATATACTGAATCATCTTCCATAATTTACTCTGTTTCATCCATATTTCAAGTTTTATGTTTCATCGTCTACTTCTCACTAGTCAGTTCCTTTCTCCCTGTCTGTGTGTGACTTGTGGTGAAGCTGAAGAACATTTATCCATTCAGCCATTTTGCTGAAATCCTGGTTCTTATACTTACCGGAGTACCTGTAGGGACCTCGGAGAACTTTTAGGCTATTCTTATAACAGTGCCATTTTAATGGATTTTTTAACGGATGCCGGTTAATTTAACTTAGTGTAATAGTATTTGTGTCGCACGTACTGTTAGTTTTAATTTTTCTAACTTAATTCCATCCTGGAGGTTCTTGTGTGTGTTCTCTAGTTATTTATTATTGTTAAGAGTCCCCTGGGATATATCAGGTTAAAATAATCTTCAAATCTGAAAATTTTCTTTTAATAATAATAATAAAATTATATTAATAATAATAATCATAATAATAATGTAATATATTAATGTTAATAATAATAATTTTTCAAACTGTACCAACATATACAATAATTTAAAAGGACCATAACATGCACAGGAGTTATATATCAGTTTCTATATTTCTTAAGAAAGACTATATTGTTATCTGTACTTTCACATATTTTAGACACTGGATGATGATTTGGTTTTCTTGTGAGAGTTCTCAAGTGTTCTATACGATTTTTTTTTTTGTTCTCTGAACACTGATATGGTGTCCTTGGATTGTGAGGATCATCTTAACGACGGCGAAGAGCTCTTGTTCCAGGGAACTTAGGTCGTAACTGATTGCTTCCCATTTCCCAGGCAGTAACCCCCCTCCCCCTTCAAATATAGGGCTTTCATATTACTTATAATAATAATAATAATAATAATAATAATAATAATAATAATAATAATAATAATAATAATTATATATTATTATTATTATTATTATTATTATTATTATTATTATTATTATTATTATTATTATTATTATTATTATAATGTCTAGGCTGTGGCGCCTGGTTTGTACAGCAGGATGTGTGATTGTGAGAGTGATTGTGAGAGTGATTGTGAGAGATGACTAGTGTAGTGTTGATCTTCATCTTTCTCGTCATATAACCTTGGCTTGCCTTATGGCACTTACTAAACCACTTACAAAATACCTGTGAATCCTTAATAATTTCCAGTCGGTTTTTTGAATATTTAAAAAATGTAATAGAGATATATTTTAATACATAAATTTTGTAATTGCGACTGAATAAGTACTTCCATAATTGAATATTCCGTGTGCAGGCCTTCACAGTACGTGCTGTTTGATTCTCAGTGGCCCTTTTCAGTCGCATTTACAAAAAAAGTCAACTTTTCGAGCTTTGAGGTTGCTTTATAAGAGCTGTGGCTTATTCGTGTGTTTTATTTCAAATGAACAAGCATTGTAAGTACGGAAATAACCCGCACATAGAAGAGAGGAACTTTCGATGACGTTTCGCTCCGACTTGGACCATTTACAAAGTCACACTACGGAGAGGAGAATGGGAGGGAGTATATAAAGGCAGGAGTTGGTAGTAGTAGTAGTGGAGTAGAAGGTAGTAGTAGTGGAGTAGAAGGTAGTAGTAGTGGAGTAGAAGGTAGTAGTAGTGGAGTAGAGGGTAGTAGTAGTGGAGTAGAAGGTAGTAGTAGTGGAGTAGAAGGTAGTAGTAGTGGAGTAGAAGGTAGTAGTAGTGGAGTAGAAGGTAGTAGTAGTGGAGTAGAAGGTAGTAGTAGTGGAGTAGAAGGTAGTAGTAGTGGAGTAGAAGGTAGTAGTAGTGGAGTAGAAGGTAGTAGTAGTGGAGTAGAAGGTAGTAGTAGTGGAGTAGAAGGTAGTAGTAGTGGAGTAGAAGGTAGTAGTAGTGGAGTAGAAGGTAGTAGTAGTGGAGTAAGGTAGTAGTAGTGGAGTAGAAGGTAGTAGTAGTGGAGTAGAAGGTAGTAGTAGTGAAGTAGAAGGTAGTAGTAGTGGAGTAGAAGGTAGTAGTAGTGGAGTAGAAGGTAGTAGTAGTGGAGTAGAAGGTAGTAGTAGTGGAGTAGAAGGTAGTAGTAGTGGAGTAGAAGGTAGTAGTAGTGGGGAGGTAGTAAGGATGAGGAGTCAGTTAAACGCTAAGAAAGAGAAGCACTGCAAGAGAGCTATATGCTTTTTTTTTTGTTATTTAAGTATTGTAGTGCTCGTGACAACAGTGTAAGCCAGAGGAAGGCCTCGGTCAGGTGACCAAAAAGCTCCAACGGCGGGTCATCATCTAAGACTCTCGTGAGGAAACACTTCTCCTGTTTCCTGACGAACCTTACCGAACAGAACCTACATTACTGACACGTTATATCTTTGGTATTTATGCCAGTTATATCTTTATATTGTTAGATGCTGGCAAGGCATATGTAATTAATTATATAAAAGGATAAGCCCATTCATCAGCATTTACTAAACAAATCTTAAAGCCCATATAATAAAAAATTGGTACCAAATGTAAATGTGCAGCGATACGACATTAGGGAAACGTTAAGCTGACTGAAAACTTAAGTGAATATACAAACTTCCCAGTGAGCGAAACGTTTCCATGATAAATGTCTTAGTGATGCACTTATGTTTGGTTTAAATGTTTTTAGTGGTGTCATTCGTGGGACATAACAAGTGTAAGTAAGGAGCTCAGCCTCTGGTGAAATGCAAGGTCTTACGTGAGTTATATAACTTAATTAGTTTAGATATTGACTCCTCAGGCGGGGCAGCATAAACTAGGGACTCCTCATGTTGCCCAGCATGAGCTATGGATCCGTGAAATTATGAAAATCCTGACATGAGTGACTGTGGTTAATGAAAATTCATAATACAGAGGTCGTCCATCAAGCCTCAGTCCATCACCTTCCTACATGAGTCTGGTTGGATGGGACATTACTGCATCGTGATGGCTGTGATCTTATGAAAATACAGCTAATATGAAGGTGTTTATGTCTCCTTATATTGTGTGTACTGTATGTTACAGTGTTGTGTGTACTGTATGTTACAGTGTTGTGTGTACTGTATGTTACAGTGTTGTGTGTACTGTATGTTACAGTGTTGTGTGTACTGTATGTTACATGTTGTGTGATGTAGTTACGGGGTATTTGTTACAGTGTTGTGTGTACTGTATGTTACAGTGTTGTGTGTACTGTATGTTACAGTGTTGTGTGTACTGTATGTTACAGTGTTGTGTGTACTGTATGTTACAGTGTTGTGTGTACTGTATGTTAACAGTGTTGTGTGTACTGTATGTTACAGTGTTGTGTGTACTGTATGTTACAGTGTTGTGTGTACTGTATGTTACAGTGTTGTGTGTACTGTATGTTACAGTGTTGTGTGTACTGTATGTTACAGTGTTGTGTGTACTGTATGTTACAGTGTTGTGTGTACTGTATGTAACAGTGTTGTGTGTACTGTATGTTACAGTGTTGTGTGTACTGTATGTTACAGTGTTGTGTGTACTGTATGTTACAGTGTTGTGTGTACTGTATGTAACAGTGTTGTGTGTACTGTATGTTACAGTGTTGTGTGTACTGTATGTTACAGTGTTGTGTGTACTGTATGTTACAGTGTTGTGTGTACTGTATGTTACAGTGTTGTGTGTACTGTATGTAACAGTGTTGTGTGTACTGTATGTTACAGTGTTGTGTGTACTGTATGTTACAGTGTTGTGTGTACTGTATGTACAGTGTTGTGTGTACTGTATGTTACAGTGCTACGTTTACCTTTGTTACTGTATTAATGTTGTGTTAACTAGTATGTACAGTTTATTCTGTATGTTAATCGTTTATCTCAACTGTATGTTAACTGTTGAGTCTGATGATTCATTTTGGACTGTACACATGCATTACACTCCTTTCTGTCATGATAATTATATCATTCAATATACAGAATCACGTGCCCGAGCTGATATGTCAGTCTAGTTTAGGTGGCGACTCAGGTGAGTATGTCAGCTCAGTTGGGGCGTATTATCATAAATACAGTAATGAGTTTTAGTGATTACACTAAAACTCAGAGAAATTTTGAGAGGAGCATAGCGTCTACGGTTTTCGTGTGCCTAGCGAAATTTTGGTGCAACGGGAAAGTATTTCGATGTGGCTGCAGTGTGGAGTACAGTCAGTGGGAAATCCCGCTGGAGGAGAGATGCCTGGCTGGCTGCTGGCCCAGCAGTCGTGTAAGACAAACCCTGTTCTAATATGGTTGATGGTAAGTGAGTATCTTTGTGTGTGTGACTGTGCACGGCCACCACACACACACACACACACATACGTGTATTATGACGGGAGACTAGAAGAACTGATCCTGACGATAGAATAAGAATTGATTTACAAGTTGTTGCAAGGATTTGACAGATGTTATGTACACAGGCTCTGAAATATGAACCATGAAGGCGAGGGGCAAAGATGGAAACTAAGGACGCAGACCAGCCACAGGGATGTTTAGAAATACTTTTTTCAGCCTCAGGCTGGTCAGTAAAGTGCAAAGAGCAAGATGAGGGAATGATAGAAGCTCAATACACAGTCTCGAAAGTCTGTATATTGGGGCCCAAAAGGTCAGGAACCAATAGTGCAGGCGAATGTAATCTCAGAAACAAGTCTAGGAGCTGAGACTGGATCCCACCATAAACAACTGAGTCAGTACACACTCAAATGGAATCACACGTCTCATAAGGACACAGATGAGTCACAGGGTTGTTTAAAAACCTTTTCTTCACTCTCAGGGGATTAACAACTAGAATGACTTATAGGAGGAGTTGGGGGAAACAGACACCCAACACAGTTTTAAGGATAGGTACAAGACTCACGAGGTGGGAAAACTTGTGAAGCAAGTCATGATCAGTGTCATGTCACAGGTCATCTGTCGACACATTCCACGCGTTAACAGTACCTGTTCATGAACTTTATGTGCGTAGGGCAATAATATATGTAATATTGTCCTATTTACAAACATCACATCCATAACTATAGATATATGAACATAGAAACACGAATTACACACACTGGAAGAGCAAACAAGGGTAGGAGAGAGTACCTTAAATGTAGTATACAGGAGTACCACGTATAAAGAAAGTAGAAGATAATTATAAGAAAGGTGTCAGAGTAGAGGGCAGTGGCAAAAAAGCCTGGATGGTATGTGGAATCTTAGAGGGCAGTGGTAAGAAAGGTAATTTCAGAGTAAACCTGGATGGCATGTGGAGTCCCCCAATGTTCACTGTTTGTAGATGATGCTAAAATAATTAGAAAAATGATACGAGAAGAGGAAAGGGAATTTTAGAAGTTCCAAGATACCTTCGGCAGTTTGCAAACGTTGTTAGGTTAATGACTGCTTGACTTTAATTACGAGTGACATCTAAACTGTCGTATCTGGGCGCCTCTGCAAAGACAGTGATTACTTGTGAATGATGGTCAAAGTATTTCTTTTGGTGGGTCACCCTTCCTCAGTGGGAGACGGCCGATGTGTTGAAAAAAAAGCATGCATAACAATGAAAATAGAAGAGGAAATAAGACCACCGGATACATATTATAGCCTAAAAGTAGACACTTCAGACAACCTTCAGAGGCAGGAATCTCTGTTTAAGAATTGTACAAAGTTTATTACCGTAAGCAATTTTAATTCGCATGACTTCAGTGACCCCATGCAGAATTAACCTACTTAAAAACTATGTAAAGATAACTGAACATAGATTCATTTAAGATATTTTACATAAAGTACATTAGGACTATCTAATGATTCATATAAATAAAGTAATGAAGATGCAAAGGTTTGTCAAGATATTCGTACCAGAACCGAGGGGAATGGAGTACCAGGAGAGGGTTAGGGAACTCAGGTAAACAATACTGAGAGGGAGGAGGACCACACGGACCATCATTATAACTTACGAACTTCTCAAATTATTAGGTAGAGGGGATTGAGTCCCGCTGTTCGAGAACTCACTATTTTGAGGATAAGTGGAATACTTTTAGAATTACATATGATCTAGTATAGTTACTCAGGATATATTGTTAGATTATAGCTATGTTAATAAAACATTATAATTAGGAAAGCAGAACGAATATCATTTACTATTTTGTTGGGCTTAATGCTCTAGCTCCCGGCATTAAATTTAGAAGAGGAGTGGCAAAAAAAAATTGTCGCGTGTCCTTTTAGTAGCCGGCAGTTTCCCAACAATCAGGTCATTTCTTTCTTAGATATGAATCTGTCTAGGAAAGGTTAATATAACTTCTACTTTAGGCCCTGGCTGATATTTCCCAAATTTTACTGTCACTCGTCACAAGATTCACAGTCAAGTTACTTTCAAAAACCAAGACTTTGCGTTCTTGTATAATTTTCTCATGTTGTAAAATATAACAGATTAATATATATATACCGAGCATTCTTTAAGTTCAAGTAGCACCTTAAAGTTGCATCTACAAGTGCACTAACGTGGGAGTTAACTTATTTACACTGTCAACACTGTCACTGCGGCTTGTGATAACTGTCTCTTGGAATGTTCTGCTTTCTGTCATCTGTACACAAACCGCACCCAGAATCAGTATTGTTTTAGTCCTACAGACACGGTAAACTCCACGGAGGTATACCTCCCTGATTCAAGTATCCCCTCTTTATGTCTTATTATTGGTCTCTTTGTTCCTGCTCATTGTAAAACAACGTTGATAAGAGCTGCACCTTCTATCACTGTCTTATGTGGTAACGCTAATCCAGCTCCATCCTTCATAGAATGTTTTCACTAACAAAAACGCTCGTCTTTAATCACTGTTCCTTCGGCAATTATACCAATCCTTAATGGGAACTATAATTCAAGAATTGTGGATTTTTCTTTGATTCTGTCTGATACATTATCCGTGTACCAGTTACCTTATTTATTACATAAATCTTCACAGGTTTAGTCATGTGCTGTTTGAGTTAATCTTACTTTCACGTATATTCTCCGATGTTATCTCTCTCATAGTAACTTGTGATATGTAATAGCTATGGGATCTTTCTCCACTGCATATTATGAGGACCCATATCCTTGGTTGAGTATATTGAAATAAATATATGTAAAGTCATTTATGCCTTTATCTTGATATATATAATATATATATATATATAATATATATATATATATATATATATTATATATATTCTTCTTCCAACACACCAGCCGTATCCCACCGAGGCGGGGTGGTCCAAAAGGAAAAACGAAAGTTTCTCCTTTTACATTTAGTAATATATACAAGAGAAGGGGTTACTAGCCCCTTGCCCCTGGCATTTTAGTTGCCTCTTACAACACGCATGGCTTACGGAGGAAGAATTCTGTTCCACTTCCCCATGTGTTGAAAGAAAGAATATATATAATATATATATATATAATATATATATAATATATATATATATATATATATATATATATATATATATATCAATAACAACACTGCGACTAGCCAAGAACTCGAACCCATGTTGTTTCCCGCCTCATGGTGAGCAAAAACCACATGACGCTCTAGCCCATAGGACCAGAAGAATCAAGCACCCTGGGTGTTTTACGGTGATCCGAGGACATACGGTGGTGTGGGCGCCTCTAAGCTAATTTCATTCTACTCCCCGTTTGGTGTACTAGCCTCAATAAGCAGTATTTTATATTACTGTAACCACGAACGAGTGGTATTGATCAATAACAACTCTGCGACTAGACAAGGACTTGAACCCATGTTGTTTTGGCCCACCTCATGGTGATTCTGCGTGGTGCATTGATATAAAAATCGCCTGAGAGGTCAGCACATACAGGAGGAGGTTGAAAAAGCTTGAATCCATGCTTGAGGCTGACTGACGTGCTCGGGCTGGGAAAGAAACATGGCTTGTGAACCAGGCTGCCTAGCTTATGTGGCATTTGTGTGGCCGAGTGGATAAGAGCCCTGCCTGGGAATCTTGACCGTCCCCAGTAGCAGTATCGAGTCCTGCTGACTGCGATCTTTCTCTCTCTCTCACTTTCTCTTTATATATATATATATATATATATATATATATATATATATATATATATATATATATATATATATAATAATATATATATATATACATTATATATATATATATATATATATATATATATATATATATATATATATATATATATATATATATATATATATATATATATATATTCATTGTCCCTTAAAATTTAACTATGATTTTTAATTTCTTAATATTAAGTTTTGTTTTCCATCCTCGTCATATTGGGCTCATATGAGTTTATAATAGGTGCTTGATATAATTAATTAATTGAAACACTGAGCTTTTATATAATATATAATAGTTCCATACAATTTAATGGGTACAGATATTCGTGTTAGTTACATTTCTTTATTGAATAATACTCATACTAACCTTGTTAGTATGCTCGCGATACAGGATATTCAGTGTATTCCTGACAACAGTATATTAATCAAATTAATAAGCTATTCATTTTATTATATATATATATATATATATATATATATATATATATATATATATATATATATATATATATATATATATAAACTGATACCTCACTGGCTTACATACGAGGTTTTAATACATTTTATGTATTACACTGAATATTTATTGAGAAGTGTTGATTTAAGCTGCAGATTCTTCAACCTCCTGCTGGGCCTTGCGGAACTTAGCCAAGTTCAGAGCAGCGATCTCCTCAGCTTCCTCGATCTGGCGCTTGTAGGTCTTGATCTTCTGTTGCAGCTTGTCAACAAGGTCCTGCATCCTCTCGTGGTTCTTCTTGTCCTCGTCGGACTGGAAGGTGAGCTCCTTGATGCGCCTCTCACACTTCCTCAGGTTCTTCTGGGCATCAGAGTGACGGCGTGCTTCATCGTCCAGTTGGCCTTCCAGCTCGCGAATGCGGCCTTCCAGCTTACCCAGGGATTTCTTACTTGTCTTCACGGCGAAGCTTTCGCTGTCATCAAGCTTGACTTGAAGTTCCTTAACAGAGACTTCCAGGCTCTTACGCACCTTCTCCAGGTTCTGGGCGTGTTCCTGCTCAGCGCGGAGTTCATCAGCCAGGCGAGCGGCGTCAACCATGGCCTTCTTAGCCTTCTCCTCGGAGTTCTTGGCCTCGTTCAGCATGTCTTCATACTCAGCCTGAGAAAGAAGTAAAAAATAACCAATATAGTACTTACAGGAATTTATGACTGATTTAAGTGTGCCTTGTCTGCAGCCTAAATCGCACACACACACACCATGTTTATATATATATATATATATATATATATATATATATATATATATATATATATTATATAATATATATATATATATATATATATATATATATATATATTAATACGTCGGCCGTTTCCCACCGAGGCAGGGTGACCCACAAAGAAAGAAAAAGCTTTCATCATCATTCAACACTTTTACCATCATTCACATATGTATATGTATACATGAAATAAGATCTCACAAAATCGCTAAAGAAGCGTGTATTGAAGGAGTCGTGAAGACTGATTTCGCTAGCCATCTCTCTGGACAGTCACAACTGTAGTGTACCTTCCGACCTGCTAACATTCAAATTTATTCCTGATCTTTATTGAACAGGTGATGATTTGCAAAATTTTTAAATATTGTACCTCAGTGGCCATTTTTTTCTCTACCTTCAGATCATTCGTCCATATAATAAACATTAATTAATCATATTGTTTAAAATGTAAATAAGATATTTTGAAAAATAAAATAGTTTATGTTTAAAAAACTAGGAAAATTACAGTGAAACAAGAATCTGACCGTTATACAGGGACGACTTAGTCTACATTGCTAATAGAAAGTCTATACATCCAGATTTGCTTTAGAATTCTGTTTCGGGGAACTTTCAAAAGCAAAAGCATACCTACATCTGTCAGTGTATAATGTTCTTAAGATGTTTAACACTACGACACTCGGAGCTTTAAGACCACTTAGTTTATCTGATTATTTACCCCTCGATTCCAGTTAATCGGAACCAAGGATATGTAAAATATTAAAGACCCTAACTTAGAGGAATATGCCTGTGTGTGGATCAGAGATGTAATGATATTAAAAAAAGTAAATATAAGCTTACGTGAAGAGTCTGCCATTCTCCTTCAAGCTTCCTCTTAGAAATGGAAAGAGTATTGTACTGAGCGCTAAGGGTGCTGTACTGCTCATTAGCGTCACTAAGATCAGACTCGGCTTGACGACGGCCACGGTCCGACTGCTCAAGAAGAGTTCTGGATTCTTCCAGTTCTCCATGAAGAGAATTAGCGCGGCGCTCGGCGATCGCGTATTGCTCGCGGTATTCTGAGCCTAGACGCTGCTCGTCTTCAACCCTCGCTTGCAGGTCCTTTACTTCACTCTGAAGCTTCTTGTAGCTCTTTTGTAGGTCACCATATGCCTTGCTTGAATGACCAAGAGAGACTTCCAGCTCGTTAATGTCTGCCTCAAGCTTCTTCTTCAGTCGGAGAGCCTCAGCCTTACCCTTAGCTTCTGCCTCTAGGGAAGCTTGCATAGATTCTAGAGCACGAATGTGACACTTGCTGAAATAAAAAGAAAAAACATAAATATTAATGGATATTTAATGTTGTTAACCACAATATTAAAAAAAACTGATTAACTGGGAATGAGAAAATGCTGAGCTGAATGAGAAAATATATTACTTACCGAATATTGTCAAACTCTTCTTCTTTCTCCTGAATTCGTTTGTCAATTTCCTGTCTAACTTGGCTGAGTTCAAGTTGACCACGGAGTACTTTGTTCTCCTCTTGTTCCAGGGCGGCTTCAGCTTCCTCAAGAGCAGCTTGAAGTTCTTCTTTCTCGATCTCAAGACGCTTGACATTCTTCTGGAGGTCATGGTAGTTTCGGCCACCATCACCAATCTGATCTATCAGATCCTTGATCTCATCGGCCAAGTTTTTGTTCTCGCGGCGAACTGTGTCCAGGTGTTCAAGATTTTCTTCGTAGGCGGCCTTAATGCGGAAGTGTTCAGTGGAGTAGTTGCGGCACTCCTTCTGAGAAGCGTCAAGTTCAGCCACAAGGTCGTCAACCTTCAGTTTCCATTCGTTGATTATTCTATCAAAGTTCTTTTGCTTCTTCTCTGCGGCCTGGGCTAAAGCTTCAGCACGTTCAATTGCTATCTGTGTTTCATCGAAGTCCGCAGCAAGTTTCTCCTTGGATTTCTCCAGGGCCAGGTTCTTAACATTAAGTTGTTCAATCTGTGCTTCGGCTTCCTCAAGGCGAGCAGCAAGCTTCAACCGGGAAGCTTCTATCTCCTCAGCACGGGCAACGCCTTCTGACTCGTATTTGGAACGCCACATCTGGGATTCAGCATTGGCTTTTGTAAGCTGGCGCTGCAAGTCCGTCTTGCTTTCACTTTCTTCGTCAAGTTGTTCTCGGAGACCATCAATATCATGCTCTAAGTTGCGATACTTTCCAAGAAGAATACTGCGTTCCTGTGGGTGACGAAATATATTTGCGTTTAATATATCGCTTAACATCAACAGATACTGCTGTTATTTTATGAAATATTAATTAAACACCGTGAAGAATTTTTTCTGATAGTCATCTATATAATTAAAGAATGATTTTCATATAAAAATTTGAAACCAAATTTTATTTTAATAATTGAAGGTAAATTATTATAATTGAAAAATGTTTTTCAGTGCTAAAGGATGTAATGATCTAGATGAAAGTAATTCTTAATTATGCTGGTGGTACACTCACTTTGCTGTCCTCCTCGGCAAGCTTTTTCGAGTCTTCAAGCTGAGCATTCAGGGATACTTTAATCTTGGACAGTTGTCCAGTTTGGGTTTCAGTCTCCTCCAGCTGGCGCAGAAGATCAGCATTTTCAATAGCAAGCTTCTTCTTGCTGGCATCGAAGTCATTGAGAGTACGAGTGGATTCTTCATATTTGGCATTAAGTTCAGCTATCTGCTGCTGCAGTTGTTTGATGGACTTATCTGCAGTAGCCTAGAAATTAAGACAAAGGCTAAGTATATTTCTCAATGTGATAATTTCTTAATATTTATAAAAAGTAAATACTTGTCATATACTGTTTGTTTGTTTAATATTATTTACAGTCGAATAAAGATGGTATTTGAAATGAACTTTTACAGTTTTCATGGGAAAAATAATAAATACGTTTACTTAAATATGTCAAGGAAGTGTATAATATAAATTTATTACATAAAATCTACGGTTTTCCTATGTGTTATAGATAAAGCAAATTATGCATGACTAGATATTCGAAGGATGAACACACGTTACTTTAACTTCAGGAAAAATGCAAAGTAGAACTTGATTAGTTTTACCTTGTCACGGGTAAGACCGTCCATGGCAGACTTGGCATCATCCGCTTTACGCTTCAGATCATTCTTCTCCTTCTCCATCCTGTAAATATTCAAGGCTAACGTTATTCTTGTAAATTTCGTACGACATTAAACATTTCTCATTTCCATAGTAAGATCTAACCTGGTGTAGATCCTACAGCTATATATATATATATATATATATTATATATATATATATATATATATATATATATATATTTTATATATATATACAAACAAACGCAGACGGGCGATCTTAACTATGCAAGACAAGCCACGGGGGGGGATTGGAAATCTTTAGCTCAAGTACTTTCACACTCGCAGTGCGTCATCAGGAGCTGTGCAGTGTTGCAAGGGAGCAACCAAAGCAGGGAGAAAAGTCTCAGATTCCCCTCCCCCGTGGCATGTCCTGCCTATATATATATATAATATATATATTATATATATATATATATATATATATATATATATATATATATATATATATATATATCATTAAATTAACTAACAGATTTAAGGCTATGTAAACAAAAGCTGATTTGCTTACTTAGCCTTCGTTTTGTTGAGATGGTCAACCTGCTCAGACATTTCGGCAACAGCATCATTATGTTTCTTGCGAAGAAGATTAAGAGCAGAGTCATGCTGGATGTTGGTCTCCTCGAGGTCACGGCGGAGCTTGGCCAACTCAGCCTCGCGCTTCTTGTTCAGTTCGATCTGAGCTGCGGTGGCTCCTCCAGCCTCATCCAGACGATCAGTGAGTTCTGAAAGCTCGCGAGCAAGGTTGCTCTTTCCCTTTTCAGCCTTGGCACGGGCCTGTCGCTCATGTTCAACCTCTTGTTCGAGCTCCTCGATTCGAGACTGCTGTTCTCTAATCTGCCTCTGGACCTTAGCAAGCGCACCCAGATCATCCTCAAGTTTGCTAGCAAGCGCGGCATATTCCTTATCCTTTCGCTGGATGGTAGACTCAATGTCTTTGTAGTTTCGCTCTAAGTCAACCACAGCTTCTTGAGTAAGCTTAAGGTCGCCCTCAACCTTCCTCTTATTCTTCTCAACATCACCACGCAGCTTCTTCTCCCGCGCAAGAGAATCCTCCAGCTCGTCTAGGGTTTGCTCGAGCTTCGTTTTAATGTTGTGGAGATGATTACACCTGTCTTCAATTCCCTGGAATTCTTCAGAAGACTTTTGGCCAAGCTCTTGAAGATGTTTCTTTTCTTTAGTCGCCTTGTTAAGGAGCTCTTCCTGGTGGGCAATTTCTTCCGTAATATTGTGAATTTGATGGTCTCTTGCGGCCTTCTCTTGCTCTGCCTTCTGAAGTGAAAGCTCAAGATCTTCTAAGTCCCTCCTCATGTTTCCTAGTTCCTGATCGGTCTTCTTCCTGTCTTGTGATAGCGCAATACGCGCTTCCTCCTCCTTCTGCAGGCGCTCATTAACATCCTTTAATGTGAAGATATTATTCACCCTTTATAGTTTGCTCATAATAAATTCAATTATTTATATGCAGAAATTCTTAGTAATTAATATATAATCAATATTTTTTTTGTAGTTAAATGTAAATGCAGTGAAATGGTGTATACACTAACTGAAGCATACTTAGTGTGTATATATATATATATATATATATATATATATATATATATATATATATATATATATATATATATATATATATATATATATATTATTATATATATAATATATATATATATATATATATATATATATATATATATATATTATATATATATATATATATATATATATATATATATATATATATATAGTAAGAGTTTATTAATACAGGCATTAAATATAACAAACTAATAGTACATGTATTTACTAATAAGTGTCAGTAACTGCAGGTGTGTAGTCGGAGGGATTCAGAATCATAATTTGTATTGTTATTTCTAGGACCTTTTTTTTCTCTGCTATACTGTGTTTTACTTACGTTAAACTGGGCTTCCAGTTCATGCTTCTGAGACTGGAGCTTGGCCTGTTTTTCGACGAACTCTGACATATTACCCTTGGTTGATTCAAGCGCAACTAGAATGTTGTTCTTTTCCTCCTGAGCTGCGGCAATAGAAGCTTCCAGCTCCTGGCGAAGCTTCAGCTCATTGTCGTAATCCTCCTGAGCTTTAGTGGCCCTCTGCTTGAGTTCGTATATTACATCCTCAATACGAGTAACGTGGAGCAGAGGCTTAACTTTCTGCCAGAGATTGAACCAGACCCAGGACTGCATGGCCAAGAACTTCCTCAGGTTGCGCTGGACGACAACGAGGGCAACACGCTGCTCCTGCAGTCTTCCGAATTCCTTTCGGCCGGTGAAGCCACGTACCCATGACTGCAGCCACGATATAATTTTGCCCAGACGTTCATCACGGATCTCCTCCAGGGTACCCAGGACTCCAGCACGGAAGAACACCTGAGAGTAGTATAATTAATTCAGATCATTCAAATACTTTCTACTTCTGGTATATTAGAACTTTAATTTTCTAAAAACTAAAACAATGGAAAGCAATATTTCTCATAAACTTTCGGACGGTACGACAATATATAACTTTAGGCTAATATCAAGTGATTAGGGCTTTCAAAATGTCAAGTTATTTAATAAGTTACTTAAGTGGAGGATTTTAAGTTGGCTACAATGCGAGTATATTGGTACACAGGTAAAAAAGATGAAAGTTGTAATTGTTGACCTTAGTGTTACCCAGGCGGTAGAGCTCCTCTTCTAGACCAGCCTTGTCGAAGCAAGCCTTTGCCGCCTTTTTCTCATCAGCAATTTCAGTCATCTCCTTAGAAGCCAAGATCTTGTAACTGTGAGTGAAGAGGCACCATTACGTACTTCTTAAGTATTTTTAACTAACTAAATGCAGACTTGCATCACAATAATTAAATATATAAGAAAGAAAGAAAATTTTACACTTAATCACATTATCTCTCTCCCTTTTTTTAATTATTCTGTATTCAACTACTGTAGTCTCACCGGTGCCGGAAATCGGGGTAGATCATCCTGTTAGGGAAGCCTTTACGACAGATCCTGATGCCCTCAAGTACACCGTTACAGGTCAGCTGATGCATGATCAAACCAGCCTCAGTCACACCTGCGGGAGGAAGTACATGTAATGTTGAACAATGTAGATAAACAAACAATATTATTCCAGATTTCACAACGCTTAACTTGAGAAACAAGAGGTGATAGTGATGTTAAAAGTTAAGTGAGAAATCATAGTGAAGGTGCTCGATGAACTCACCTGGGGACTTGGTCTCGTTGGGGACGATACAACGGATGAAGTGAGGATGAGTGGAGTTGAGGGTCCTCATCAGGTTGTTTAACTGGTCCTGCACCAACAAATATTGACATCAGAATTACTTGATATAATTACCTAGTGAGTCAAGGATCATATAGGGGGATCAACAAAATAATTTAAGTGGTTACAAGCAAATTTCTGGTTTATATAATAAAAAATTCTAGAATTTAATTTAAAGAAACTGGTTTAAATAAACTTACATAAAACCAGAAGTTATATGACATAATAATCTTGTTTTTATTTTTTCAGTAATTTAAACAAAAAGGAAACATGTACTAATGTTTTATGTTGTATTATTATTGAAAGAAGACTATTACTAAGTAAACATACTTACCCTGTATCCAGAAGACACAGTCTTGAAAGAACCAGATTTTGCGCCGCGACCACCTTAAAAATATCAATTTATATTAGAGAGTTTTTATTATTCTCTTATTTTACATTTATTATTTATCATTTACAACAGGTCTTATTAAGAATAAAATGTCTGGTATTATAAGCAGAAAGCAAACGAATACGTGAAAATTCTGGCGTTTCCTTCGATCTCCAGTTTGGAGAGTAACCCATACATCAGGGCAGAACGATGACTGTGAACTCTGCAAGGAGATAAAAATATATTAGAACTTCGGATCCACAGTGAAAATATATAATGGATATAATCAGGCAAATTGGTAATTTCGTATTAAATTTAAATTTGAATATATTCACATATTTCGTTGTTTAATTTTATTGTTAATGACAATAAATATATTTCGTAATTCAAGTGGTAAAAAATAAAGTAAAAATGTATTACTGTTGTCAGAACAGAATCTTTGTCGAAACACTTGCACACATCTTGTATACACTTACCACCTTTGCCACCGGAATCAGCTGGACCAGACTGTCCGGGATGGTCAAGGAAGACAGTGACGATAAGTTCGTTAGAGGACTTCTTGAGCTGGTCGACGACAGTGTCGTTGAGGGGATCCTTGTTCTTCTCCAGCCAGCCAGACAAGTTGTAAGTGACAGTACCAGCGTAGTGAACGATGGCGAAGTGGCCTTCAACCTCTCCGGGCTTGGGTGGCTTGGGCTTAATGAACACAGGGGACTTTCCTAGATGGTTGGCGTTCAGTTTCTCTAAGAAGGACTTATCGGTAGCCTTGGGGAACATAGACTCTTCCTCAAGAATGGAGAGCAAGCCCATTTTCTGTCGAAAACGAACATAAAATTTAGTAATGAAACATACACAAAAAATATATAAATAAGCAGTCGTAGTATGTTATGTTCACATCCACTGCATTTTTCTCTTGGTTATTTACCTTCTCGAAGAGCTCAATGCAAGCTTGCAGATCCATACCGAAGTCCACGAAGACCCAGTTGATGCCTTCCTTCTTGTACTCTTCCTGCTCCAGCACAAACATGTGATGGTTGAAGAACTGCTGCAGCTTCTCGTTACAGAAGTTGATGCAGATCTGCTCGAAGCCGTTGTACTGGTAGACGAACCAATATCATTGTTTAAAAAGTACGCCAATTTAAATCTTCAATAAGCTCATTTTCGCTGTTGAAGCTTGTCAACACTTCATTTCCCCAGCAGATATTAAGAGTACGTGTACTTCAAAGTAATTCGATTAACCATATCTTTGTATTATATGTGACATAATTCCTTTTTCTTTGAAAAGTTATTTGAATTACATTTGCTTATAATTTCCTTCTTATCTCACTTCATACACAGACAACTAAAATTTGATTTATATATTAATTCTATAAAAATAAAAAGCAGTAGTGTTATTAAAATTACTTACATCGAAGATCTCAAAGCCAGCAATATCAAGTACACCGATGAAGGATTGACGCTTCAGGCCAGTCTCAAGAGTAATGTTACACTTTACTACCAGCCACTTGAAGACACGATCGAACAGACCCTTAGCCAGGGCACCGACGGAGTAGAAACACTGATTTACGTTCATGCCCTTGGCTACGAACTCAGCACCGACTTTGATCTTGGGCTTGGTAATGTTCCTGTACAGGTCGTCACCATCAACACCGAGGAGCTTGGCAACCTTGAAACCAACCTGTAAAGGAAGAGAAGAAAGTTACCATTCTCGTGAACTTTAAGATTCATGTGTACGTAAAGCTTGAAACTAGTTTTGTTATCTATACAATGTTGGCATCTAATAAAAGAAAGCAGAAAATACCTCAGTGCCATCAGCTTCAGCTTGCTCATCACGACCCTTCTGTTTGAACTTCATTTCACCCATGTGCATGACGGCTGCGGTGATCTTATAGACATTCTCAACCTCTACACTGGAGAAACCCAGAACATCGAAGGCGTCCTGTAGTAAACACATACGTGGAGCGTCACTCAGAAGATCTTTGTTAACTCTTTGCACATTTTTCACCAAATGATTAACGAAGTGTAAAATATGCTTATCAGTTGTGTTGACGAGAATAATCATATAAGTAGTATATGACGGCAGCAAGAATATTCTAGTGTAAGGTAACACATTGATGTGGGTCATCCAGTACATACACATCTCGTGACTGACATGCTGCTTAATTCTCCTCATCTAGTTTTAACTAAGGAGTTAACGAACATGTAACTCTCAGATCCACAGCAAGTTTATACGAAATATTTTTATATAATAACAACTCACTTAATATAAAAAAATATGTATAGAAATCTATTTATATACTTTTCATAATCACATATGAAGGAATCGAAATATATATATATATATAATATATATATATATATATAATATATATATATATATATATAATATATATATATATATATATATATATATATATATATATATATATACATAGGCATAAAATTGAACATATAAGCCTTGTAAATTTATGTAAGACAACTCGCCAATCCTCTGATCTGTTGGAGGGAGCAGAGACCTGCCATGGAACTTCCTGTGGCAGTAAAAAAATGTCATCAGTAAACAAGCACAAGAATGAAGACATCACTAGACAGCATTTGAAGATCTATATCTTTCTTATAGTATAAAGGAGGATATGTCGCGTGTTTGTATCTTCTGTGATACTGTTGTGTTTGCAGACACGATCGACAGTGCAGGTATGGAGAACTGACATGCTTTTATTTCAGTTTCTAACTGTTCGTCTGATTTCCTTTTCAGTTATGAACAGTCTAAGGGTTCTTTGATAAACTTTAGTATTCATGTACAGATAAATCTTAGTATTTTTTTTTTATATGGCAGAAAAGTAATATTAATGTCTACCCAATCGATATAAGTCTTCCAACATATCGATTGATAGGCTTGTATACTAATAAACACTCACACCGGTGTCTGGACCGTATTAATACACCTGGTTACATCACTCACGTGACAGAACTGCATGTCCTCGCCGTCATCAATGGAGGGGACGGTGACCTTGCCCTGAGACACGTAGTGATAATCGTAGATATCGTTGCTAAGGAAACACATGGCTGCAGATGGGGAGCAAAAGTGTTGGCGGTGTGGACGAAAAGTGATTACATTTTGATGGGGTTTCCACCAGCAATTTTTTTCCTAGCTGTTTGTTTACAACAGTTTTTTCCGCGATCACGAATTAGTAACATGGAAACAACTTACTTTCAGCAAATATTAACACTAAAAATTTGGTGAAATATATAGGATATCAATCAGTTTGAAATATATTTCTGATTAATTTATTATGATACTTTCTTAGACAATCAGAAAGCATTTCTTCGCCAGGAGAGGAGAGATAACACTTGGTTTACAGTGACTGAGGAGAGAGACACGTCATGTGACAAAAGAAATTAGTTTTCGTCTCTTAAACGTTTTCTAAATTTAGGAATGATAGTGTTATTGAATGCCCATACGTATTGACTATGAGATTGTTTTATGTCTAGTTATGAGAAAAAACGTAATTATGCATTAATATAACAAAAAAACTATAAACTATAATAATTCTCCTTGACTCACAAATATCTGTGCGTTAGTCTCTGGTATATATTAAATATTTATACCATATCATCAGACCTTGGAATAATGATAACGAAGAATATTATGGTTTAAATACGTATCCTATCCCCTTAGATTTGTTGCAGTGTTTTAGCTAAGTGGGTTTGGCATAGTGGTTTAGTTTAGAGTTGCTGCATAATGGTGTTTCTTAGAAAAAGTTTCTCAGTGCTGGGTTTAGCGCTTAGTTATAATAATAATAATAATAATAATAATAATAATAATAATTATAATAATTAGAGAAGGTTACATATTGTCGTTAAATAGTGAGAAGAGATAGTGTTTTCTCTGCAGTGTTGCTTAGTAAGGTTGTTAGTAAAGATATGTTGCAAGTTGACGTTACTTATGTTGCATATTGACGTTGCTTAAGATATGTTGCATATTGACGTTACTTAAGATACGTTGCATATTGACGTTGCTTTAGTATGTAGCGAAGTGATGATGCTTAAGATAAGTTGCACTTCGTTTACTTGAAGATGTTTATTTACTTTGAAGTTTTGTAGCGCGTATCCTTAGACGTTTTGAATTGTGTCGTTGCTTAGAGATACTTTATAGTGACGTTCCATGTTGGTTTTACTGTCGAGATAATTAAGGTCTATAATCTAAAAAATAATTTAACAGACGCATTTTTACTAATATCTTAATTCATCTTCAACTAGGCTTCGACAATTATGATTTGTCTCTTAATTTTCTTTTCAGTCTTTTATGGAATGGTATTAAAATATTGAAAATAATTTCTGTCAGACGAAATATATTAATTTAGTTGTGTATTTTTTCCATTATTGTCTGCAATAGGAAATTCACTTTGGATTCATTATGGAGGGCGTAGTAAACAGAGATAACCTACAAAATACAAAATTGCTAAAAATTTCTCCTTACAGATTAAATATCAAAACATGTTCTGCGCTGAGAGTTGTAAACTTTTCAGCTCAATGAGCAAATTACTTACGTTTGATCATTGCGACCTGGTCGGACATCATCTCGTAGAAGATATGGTAGGAACGCTCAAGAGGTTGTTGGGAGATAACACGGGCCTTCTCTAGCAGGTAGACCTCAATATCAGCACCAGACAGCTTGCCGTTGGGTTGGAAGTGGATACGGATGAACTTACCCTGTGTGCAGGAGAGACGATTATCATTTATTAAAGTTTCACTAGTCAGTAAGACAGATTAATATTTATCATTTCTATTTACTTTTTTTCCACTGTATTGAAGACCGCCTTAAATAAACAGTAGAGAACAAGATAACGTCAAACTTACGAAGCGGGAGGAGTTGTCGTTACGGGTGGTCTTGGCGTTACCGAAGGCCTCCAGTACAGGGTTGGTCTGGATGATCTGGTCCTCCAGGTTCTGATACCACAATGCAAGAATTATTTTAATGACGAGTTCTCGCAAAGAAATCTTAATATCAATCAAATTTATTTCTAAAGAAAATAATCTTTTTAACTAGTATTTTTTTTTTTTTTTTTTTTTACAAAATTTAAGATTACGTCTTCAAGTCCTTTAGAAACTATGTCCGAGTCTGTGTGGTTGATTGAGTTTTTGGATGTAGTCTGTGAAGTACAATATAGTCATTAAGATGACTGAAGTACACCTGCTCACCACCAGTCAAGAATACTTTAATTCTATATAAGGATAGGAGTAAGCTCCCAGTGTATATGCAATGAGAGATACACACCTCTCAGTGTATGCACACTACTGGTCTGTATATTGGAGACATGAATACGTGTCAGAATAACATTTCATATACGAATATTAATTTAAAATATAGATGCTTCTCACCCCTTTCTCGGCATCGCCCTTCTTCTTGGTGGTGGCGCCGACGTTGGCGAAGTAGGAGAGCACCTTCTTGGTGTTCTCAGTCTTACCAGCACCAGACTCACCGCTGTGGTAGGAATAACACTTTTGTTTAATCAATGAGTTTCTGGAGGTATTGGAGAGAAAAATCGAACCTCTCTGCACTGCCAGAAAAAAATATTAATTATCACATCGGTCGTTTTTTTTTTTTTTTACGAAAGCAGTGAGTGGTCTTATGATGGAGACAGTTGCCATTTTTAGTTCAATGACTATTTTGAAAGCAGTGCACGGACGTCACAGTCAGATATTAACACAATATATACCCACAGATAATGTAATATCCAAAATTTCACTAGTTTTCAGCGTTAATAATTAGAGATACGTTAATTGCCTATTATCAGATTGTTCTTATATACATATTTCTGTTTTCTTTACAAATAAAATATAACTTACGTAATAAGCATAGACTGGTTCTCGCCAACTGCAAGAGACAGAGATTATATTTAAAGTTATAGTGAATTCCTTTCATGGATTCTGATATGAAGATTATCCACATTTTAAATTTTGTACCTCACAGTAGTCATTCATCTATCACTTTTTTGCAGTCACATTAATATAATAGCTTAGTGTGTGTGTGTGTGTGTGTGTGTGTGTGTGTGTGTGTGTGTGTTGTGTGTGTGTGTGTGCACAGTGCACAAGCGCAGGCGTATAGGTAGGTAGCTCCAGGTCTTTCACGCTGCAAATTGTGTGTCGTCAGGAGCAATGTAATGAATGGAAATGGAATCTGGATACAGATAAGATCCCATGTTCTATTTTCTTTCACTGTATTGCTCCTGAAGTTGAGCTTGCAATTTGCAGCATGAGAGGAGCAATCTCACTTCCCCATTGAGTTAAACACTTACGTTGCATCATGTTCATGTAAGCACCGTCAGCAATGGCAAAGAGATGGGGAGGCACCTCATTACGCCTCTTGCCCTGGTAGATCTTGACCACACGATTGGTGTAGATGGGGTAGCGCTTGTAGGGGTTGATGGCGATACAGAAGAGACCAGAGTAGGTGTAGATGAGCCTGTTGACGTAACGGGACTTCAAGTTGTAGAGGACGGAGGCGTCGTTAAGGTAGGTCAAGTTGGACATGTCCTCACATTTTTCGTACTTGGGAGGGTTAACCTGACCAACGAGGTCCTTCTTCCAGTCCTTGGTTTCACCTCCGGCATAAACGGAGATAAGATCGCCCTTGGTGCCTGTGATCTCACCCTCGATGAAGCCCTCTTTGGGATCAGGGACCCAGCAGGATTTTTTGGCGTCGTAAGGCTTGGTGGCATCCTTCATCTTCATCTCAATAGAGATGAACAAGAACTCGGTAGGATCCGGGTCAGGACCCGTGGACTTCTTAACGTGGCCGGGCATGTTGGTGGTGAGTGCCTAAAGTCGTCTAATTCTCAAATATAGATATCTTGTCAGGATGTTCCTGTAACCAATATATAAATTGATTAATAAATTATATACGGAAGAGCCAGTAATCACTGTTACTACACACAGTGTTATTAATGTGCCGCATATTGTGTTTTGTTTATTTAACAAATATAATTAGTCCTATATACGTTACAAGTTTAAGGTTTTATGCAAACTCTGCATCAAAGTACGCAGTACTTGAGCCACTCAGCCAGATCCTAGATAAGTATGGGCGCCTAGCCGAAGCTATGCGGTGGATCCAATACCCTGGGACACTAGGTTTGTTTAAGTTATTTCATCAAATCCTGCCACATCCAGTGAACTTCAAAAGAAATTTTGGTATGCTTAGCAATTTTTTTTTTCGAAGTTTACTGCATGTGGCAGTAAACTCTGATGAAATAACTTACCACAAGCCTGGTGTCCCGGGGTATGGGATCCAACGCATATAAGCGCTTAGGCTAGGCGCCCATACTTATCTAGGATCTTGCATCAAAGTACTGCGTACTTTGATGCAAGAGAATGCAGGTTAGAAGCTTGTTGTGGAATGAAAAATTATACACATATATAGTATATATATATATATATATATATATATATATATATAATATATATATATATATATATATATATATATATATATATTAATATATATATATATATATATATATATATATATATATATATATATATATATATATATATATATATATATATATAGTATAGGTGCTGTTAAGCATGGAACGTAATTGAATATATAATTTAACTGAGAAATCACAAAATCACCTGGAATTACGAATTAAAACGCAAAGTACAAAGTTAATCAACACAGCGCCGTAGTCTGTATAGTATATTAAGTTTTTTTTTTTTTGGTTAAATTGTTGTAAGTCATTTTCTTTAATATTTTGAATTAAAATCTTTGTATAAAGAGTTTAAGAAGCGGTTCATTGGGATGGTGGTCAACTTTTGTCTTTGTCAGACTGGTTTAACTTCATGTAAAGTTTTACCAACTATACGAGGACCATTAAGGGTTGACAGCCTCTAGTTCATCACCTGTCAAGAATACTTCACTCCCCTAGAATAGAGGGATTAAGGTAAACAGTCAGCATGTATACACTGAAAGTCATGTAACTCACTGTGTATATATTCTGTGATGATGGACTTGAGGCTTTTATGTACAATTATAACTATCACTTTTTTTCAGAAGGTTCTCGTCAGCTTCAGTGAGCTTTCAATAATTTCAATTTAACACACTATAGATCGCACTGTTAAACCCTATTCTCAATTAGCAAAAAAAAAAAAAATTAACACTATGCAGTAACTTTACAAATTTTGTTAAACCGTAATTGTAAGTTGTATAACTTACAAGTCGCGCTTCACTGCACCACCACGAGCACACCTTGTCGAGCACACCACCGTCTCGAGCACCCACCGGAGGGCGTCTGAGGGCGCCAGCTCCGCCGACTTACCAGGTCGCCACGTGAGGTGTAACACAACCTCTGGTAAGTTAAGAATAGCACCCCGCCAGGCATGGTCACTCCTGACGCCTTTTCCTTCTTGGCATCCCACTGTATCCATGATACCAACTAACAGACAGTCGTATCATTGATCTGTAATGACATAAATGCGTTAATTTGCAGCCCACAATTTATCATGGATTGAAACAATTGCGAAGTGCTGTTCTGGCTGATGGTTCTAAAATTGTGGGATCGTTTTCCATTGTCTTCAGATTTGTGCCATGTGCTCCTCCTATATTTGGGAAGGTGCGCTCTGGTACAAGATGACCCTCCTTGTCGAAAATCAGTCTTCAACTATTTTCACTTATTATTATATTCGTTTACATTCTCTTCCATATCTCATATTCGCATGGCTCAATACCTTCTTTCTCTCTACTGTCTGCAGATAACCTAGTAATTGCGAAAGAAAACGCCGAACTGAACCTAAATGTGACCCGTACTCATACCATCGATCTTTTACATTACATAATAATAATAATAATTATATAATAATATCTTTATTTCTACAAGTACATACACAAGGTATACAGTCCTAGCTGACATCATAGACTTACTACTAATAGAAAGTCGCTTGACTCAAGAAATCGTAATGACACGATTGCAAACAAACCATACCCCCGGCCGGGATTGAACCGCGACGGGCTGGAGTTTTGAGACTCTATGACCGCGGGTTCAATCCCGGCCCGGGATATGGTTTAGAAAGTCGCTTGTTATGCAAAGCATTTCTGGCAAATTAGATCAGTTTTGTCCCGGGGTGCGACCCACCCCAGTCGACTTACACCCAGGTACCCATTTTATACTGATGGGTGAACATAGACAACCTGTGTAAGGAAACACACCTAATGTTTCAACCCTAGCCGGGAAGCGAACCCGGACCCTTTACCGTCTGAAGCGAGAGCTTTTGCCACCAGGCCACGGGCCACCATATTAATCTTTACACCGAACCCTTCATCCTGACCTCACATTAAGATATTACATACCGACCTCCGATGTTTCTTCATCCTCAAACCCAAGAGTAGAACGGCTTTCGACCCGCGATGTCAGTTAGGCTTATGATGAATCAGATTTTGGAATTGCGCCTGCAGCGACTGAGGAGTGATTGTAAACAGTCCGGCAGCATGTCCAGGTTTCAACAGCCTCTAAACACAGGCTGGATTGTTTATTAACGCCTCTCCAGGACAGGTTGAATTATTAGTAACCTTCAAAGACGAGCCGAATTGGTTGTTAGCAGCAGTCAAGGACCGGCTGGACTGTCTGTTAGCAGCCCTCAAGAACAGGTGGAATTTTTTGTTAGCCCTCGAAGACAGGCTGGAGTGTTAGCAATCATCAAGGACAAGCTGGACAGTTTGTTATCAGACATCAAGGACAGGCTAGACTGTTAGCAGCCATCAAGGACAGGATGGACTGTTAGCAACCATCAAGGCTAGGCTAGACTATTAGCAGCCATCAAGGACAGTCTAGACTGTTAGCAACAATCAAGGACAGGCTTGACTGTCAGTAACCATCAAGGACAGGCTTGACTGTTAGCAACCATCAAGGACAGACTAGACTTAGCAGTCATCAAGGACAGGCTAGACTTAGCAACCACCAGGGACAAGCTGAACTGTTAGCAACCATCAAGGACAAGCTGGACTTAGCAACCATCAAGGACTAGCTGAACTGTTAGCAACCATCAAGGACAAGCTGGACTGTTAGCAGCCATCAAGGACAAGCTGAACTGTTAGCAACCATCAAGGACAAGCTGAACTGTTAGCAACCATCAAGGACAAGCTGAACTGTTAGCAACCATCAAGGACAAGCTGAACTATTAGCAACCATCAAGGACAAGCTGGACTATTAGCAACCATCAAGGACAAGCTGAACTGTTAGCAATCATCAAGGACAAGCTGGACTGTTAGCAACCATCAAGGACAAGCTGGACTGTTAGCAACCATCAAGGACAAGCTGAACTGTTAGCAACCATCAAGGACAATCTGGACTGTTAGCAACCATCAAAAACAAGCTGAACTGTTAGCAACCATCAAGGACAAGCTGACTGTTAGCAGCCATCAAGGACAAGCTGAACTGTAAGCAACCATCAAGGACAAGCTGGACTGTTAGCAACCATCAAGGACAAGCTGGACTGTTAGCAACCATCAAGGACAAGAAGGACTGTTAGCAACCGTCAGGGACAAGCTGAACTGTTAGCAGCCATCAAGGAGAGGCTGGACTGTTAGCAACCATCAAGGACAAGCTGGACTGCTAGCAATCATCAAGGACAAGCTGAACTGCTAGCAACCATCAAGTACAAGCTGAATTGTTAGCAATCATCAAGGACAAGCTGAACTGTTAGCAACCATCAAGGACAAGCTGACTGTTAGCAGCCATCAAGGACAAGCTGAACTGTAAGCAACTATCAAGGACAAGCTGAACTGTTAGCAACCATCAAGGACAAGCTAGGCTGTTAGCAACCATCAAGGACAAGCTGGACTGTTAGCAACTATCAAACACAGGCTGGACTGTTAGCAACCATCAAAGACAGGCTGGACTGTTAGCAACCATCAAAGACAAGCTGGACTGTTAGCAATCATCAAGGATAAGCTGACTGTTAGCAACCATCAAGGACAAGCTAGACTGTTAGCAACCATCAAGGACAACGTAGACTGTTAGCAACCATCAAGGACAAGCTGAACTGTTAGCAGCCATCAAGGACAAGCTGGACTGTTAGCAGCCATCAAGGACAAGCTGGGTTGTTAGAAACCATCAAGGACAAGCTGGACTGTTAGCAACCATCAAGGACAAGCTGGACTGTTAGCAAGCAATCAAGGACAACTGAACTGTTAGCATCCATCAAGTACAAGGTAGACTGTTAGCAACCATCAAGGACAAGCTGGACTGTTAGCAACCATCAATTACAAGCTGGACTGTAAGCAACAATCAAGGACAAGCTGGACTGTTAGCAACCATCAAGGACAAGAAAGACTGTTAGCAACCGTCAGGGACAAGCTGAACTGTTAGCAGCCATCAAGGACAGGCTGGACTGTTAGCAACCATCAAGGACAAGCTGGACTGCTAGCAGTCATCAAGGATAAGCTGAACTGCTAGCAACCATCAAGTACAAGCTGAATTGTTAGCAATCATCAAGGACAAGCTGAACTGTTAGCAGCCATCAAGGACAAACTGAACTGTAAGCAACCATCAAGGACAAGCTGAACTGTTAGCAACCATCAAGGACAAGCTGAACTGTTAGCAACCATCAAGAACAAGCTGGAATGTTAGCAACCATCAAGGACAAGCTGGACTGTTAGCAACTATCAAGGACAAGCTGAACTGTTAGCAGCCATCAAGGACAAGCTGGACTGTTAGCAACCATCAAGGACAAGAAGGACTGTTAGCAACCATCAGGGACAAGCTGAACTGTTAGCAGCCATCAAGGACAAGCTGGACTGTTAGCAACCAGCAAGGACAAGCTGGACTGTTAGCAACCATCAAGGACAAGCTGGACTGTTAGCAACCACCAAAAACAAAAGGACTGTTAGCAACCATCAGGGACAAGCTGAACTGTTAGCAACCATCAAGGACAGGCTGGACTGTTAGCAACCATCAAGGACAAGCTGGACTGTTAGCAGTCATCAACGACAAGCTGAGCTGCTAGCAGCCATCAAGGACAAGCTGGACTGTTAGCAGTCATCAACGACAAGCTGAGCTGCTAGCAGCCATCAAGTACAAGCTGAATTGTTAGCAACCATCAAGGACAAACTGAACTGTTAGCAGCCATCAAGGACAAGGTGGACTGTTAGCAGCCATCAAGGACAAGCTAAACTGTAAGCAACCATCAAGGACAAGCCTGAACAGTTAGCAGCCATCAAGGACAAGCTGGACTGTTAGCAACCATCAAGGACAAGCTGAACTGTTAGCAACCATCAAGGACAAGCTTGACTGTTAGCAACCATAAGGACAGGCTGGACTGTTAGCAACCATCAAAGACAAGCTGGACTGTTAGCAATCATCAAGGACAAGCTGGACTGTTAGCAGCCATCAAGGACAAGCTGAACTGTTAGCAACCATCAAGGATAAGCTAGACTGTTAGCAGCCATCAAGGACAAGGTAGACTGTTAGCAACCATCAAGGACAAGCTGGACTGTTAGCAACCATCAAGGACAAGCTGGACTGTTAGCAGCCATCAAGGACAAGCTGGACTGTTAGAAACCATCAAGGACAAGCTGGACTGTTAGAAACCATCAAGGACAAGCTGGACTGTTAGCAACAATCAAGGACAAGCTGAACTGTTAGCAGCCATCAAGGACAATCTGAACTGTTAGCAACCATCAAGGACAAGGTAGACTGTTAGCAACCATCAAGGACAAGCTGGACTGTTAGCAACCATCAAGGACAATCTGAACTGTTAGGAACCATCAAGGACAGGCTAGACTGTTAGCAACCATCTAGAACAAGCTGAACTGTTAGCAGCCATCAAGGACAAGCTGGACTGTTAGCAGCCATCAAGGACAGGCTGAACTGTTAGCAACCATCAAGGACAAGTTGAAGTGTGAGCAACCATCAAGGACAGGCTGGACTGTTAGCAACCATCAAGGACAATCTGAAGTGTTAGCAGCCATCAAGGACAAGCTGGACTGTTAGCAGCCATCAAGGATAGGCTGAACTGTTAGCAGCCATCAAGGACAAGCTGAAGTGTTAGCAACCAACAACGACAGGCTGGACTGTTAGCAGCCATCAAGGACAAGCTGAACTGTTAGTAACCATCAAGGACAGGCTGGACTGTTAGCAACCATCAAGGACAAGCTGGAATGTTAGCAACTATCAAGGACAAGCTGAACTGTTAGCATCCATCAAGGACAAGCTGAACTGTTAGCAACCATCAAGGACAAGCTGGACTGTTAGCAACCATCAAGGACAGGCTGGACTGTTAGCAACCATCAAGGATAATATGGACTGTTAGCAACCATCAAGGACAAGCTGAACTCTTAGCAACCATCAAGGACAGGCTGGACTGTTAGCAACCAT